AGAATATATAATCTTTAAAAATATTTTTATAAGGTTGCAATGTAGAATTATAGGTGCACCTCAAAAATCCATTGAAAAATGTCGTTTTAATGTTTTAAAACCCTCTAATTTATCATCTTGATATCGAGATGTATGAATATGAAAAAAAAAAAGATTTTGAATTTAAAAATAGTGCATATTGCAACACATTATCTAGACCGTTCATTTTCAATATTTTCATTGTTCATAGATCTATTTGATTTTAACCATTTTTTGAGTTTAAATTTTTTTAATAAGATATGAAAATAGATTTTCAGATAATCTAAAGAATTTTTTACATCAGAATTACATGTTATGATAAAATTTGGAGTTGCACCTTAATTGGATTGTTTAAGGTTGCAACATTATAGAAACTAAACCCTATAATATTTAGGGATTGTATATAATGAGACCATTTACTTTTGATACAATGTGATTACAATTCTTTACAACCATTTGATGTGAAATTTGATAGTTTGGCTGTTTCACAAAATTAGTGATTTTTTTTTTAAGTTTGAACTTGGTCAATGCAAATCTGTGAGGTATACTTCTTAGATTGGCTCATGCTACTATACCTCATGCTACAGTATAAGCTCTTTCACTAATATCATATTTTTCATTTATTCATTGGAAAATGTTGAATTTCAAATGAGAGAGAGACCTTTCAGATACATCTGATAAAATTGAAACAATACAGAGAAGATTGACAATAGACCCAACCAAACTTGGGACGCGATGGGTAGACCCGACCTCGAGTTCAAGTGTAGGTCCAAATTTGAACCTGAAACGTCAGGTCTGGGTCCAAACTTTGCACCCGATTACTATTCAGGTCCGAATCCAGGTCCACCTGGACCCGACCCAAATAATATGGGTATATGTGGGTATTCATAAATGTTGCCAATTAGTTTGTTTCTTAGGAATTTTCGGTTATTACGTAAAACAGTAAGGAATGTGGGTATTCATAAATATGTTGCAATACTGTAAATGTTGCCAATAGTATTGGTATATGATGGTAAAAAAAAAAAAGGACAAAAAAAAGAAGAAGTTCATAATCATAGTGTAGCAATGGACCCACCCAGACCTTAGACCCGACCTTGGGTTGAGATATAGGTCCAAATTTTGTACCCAAAAGGTTAGATACGGGTCCAAAATGTGGCTCATCCAGGTCCAGGTGCGGGTTCAGCCGGAACCTACCCGTTGCCACCCCAAGTTTTGGACAGGCTTTGGGGCCTAACAGATGAACAATTACGAATTGGCAAGATGTTTTAGAAAAGTGGTTAGTTTGCATGTTCTTTAGCATTTACCAGTATTGTATTTTATTTCATATTTGCATGAATATCATGCATTTTATTAAGAACAAATTCGTAGAAAAATATATTACTATGAATTATTTTGGCCTTTATTGCCTAGGACTAACAAGTTTTAAAAATAAAATTACAGTTGTCTTAATTCTCAAATATTAAAAAGATAGTTGTTAAGTAAAATAAATGTATAATGTCGTTGAACATAGGTAAGAAGGGGCGAAACCCATAATACAATAAGGCAAAGTGTTTGGTGAGTCAGCCTGTGCGGTCTCACTACATAATATATCTCAAATATGAATTTTTAATTCAAAATTTTAGAGTGCGACAATCTTAACCATACAATGATCTAAATTTGAAAAAAATATATTTTTAAAAAATATAAATGTTTTTTTTAATTCTTTTCTTTACCGTCCATTTAAATTTTTTGTGCATGTTACATTTTTTGACATCCATCTTAGAGATGGACGTTCAATAGACAAGGGATAGATGAGTCGGCTAACTCACCCAAAATCGTGTCCATAAAATGATATTTCAAAACTATTAATTCCATGTATTTTCTATAAATACAAAATGTGTGTTAATTTTTTAAATTTATTTGATAGCTTATGTGAAAAATGGTAGGATAATTAACAACACTAATTAAAAATTATGAAAAGACAATGCCACGACAAGGCGACACGTAGTATTTGGCCGGTGGTCTAGTGCCAAAAGGCTGGTTATCAAAGTGGGCCATGCATCAAATTCCATATTATTTAGAAATTGTTTGAGCCTAACAATCACATATAACTTTATGGGTGACATTTTAGTAGGGCCGCGGTTGATATATTTGGTGAAGTTTTATTTCAAAATCCCGTTGAAAAATGCAATTTCGGTTATAATTATCATATTAGACGTGCCAGACTGCATTGGAATGTATATGGGATTGTGTACTATGATATTGTTTATCTTTGATACAAGAAGGTCATAATTACTCGTAGCCCTTAGATGTTAAATTGGATAGCATTAGATGTATTATGAAGTTCGAGAATATTTTTATTTTGAATTTTGAGTTTAATCAATGACACTCTTATAACCACTCCATTGAAAATCTGATGAACATGAGTAATTATGACCTCTATGTACCAAAAGTAAATAGCATATTTCTATACTTTCCCAATATATATTTAGTTGTAACTATTAAGACCAGATTATATTGGTTGGACTACGTGCAGGACTTTTGCTGATATGATCCAAAGCAAAAACCATATAAACCAATCAAACCCAATTTGTCATTGGTTTTGCCATGTTGGACTAGCTGGTCTGGACCGATTCAACTGGCTAAATAAAGTTTAGTGAGCATTTTTAATATGTTTTATATTTTGTAACTTTTTTTTTTTCTTTTGTCTTTTTTAGAACTTATTCAAACAATTTAACCGGCAATGGATTGTTTTTAACTGGATTAAACTCCTCACAGATTTAATACCCGATCCGATCTTGATAACAATGGTTTCGACACCTGAAACCCTCATAGGTTGAAAATTATATTTTTGTCCCTGAATGTAGAATTTGAAGCTTGAAAATGCTAGAGATGTGATAAATAAGTGAACCCTTAATATAAAAGGTCTAAAAAGATGTGCGTGATATCGAATATTTTTTATTTGAGATCTATAATTTTGAGGTTGAGATGGTTGATTTACAAGTTTTCATTGCTGAATTTATATTTTCCAGGCAAAATTTTGAAGTGGGCTTCATAAAGTTGCAACCTAGGAAATAATTTCCCCAACCTAATAAATAACATTTTTGTTTTAAATTGCTATAGACCTACCCCCTTTGGCTTAACGATATGGCATGGAGAGCTTGAAGCATGTCCATCTTGATACCAACTTACCTAACCAAGACAATAGCAACATCAACTAAATAAATAAATAGATATGTCAACTTTATGTAATAAATATAATAATAATAATAAGGATGGTATATTATGAGAGCTTTTATTTTTTTCGTAAAAAGTCTAGAATCATCATTAACATTAAATGTCTAATTGTGTGGTTGGAGATATGTCATTTATGTGGATAAAAATAAGATAAAAACATTGTCCCATTTACATGTAAGCAATGGCACATCAATGCTCAATTTCACATGTGATGGTAATGACTTTTTTGTACCACAAATAGATGATCTCACTGTGTACCCTCCCTCATATAAGTGTCTAAGTGAGATTTGTTAAATAGTTAAAGGGCCAATAGACTTTATGGTTGTAGCTTGACTTCCAATGCAATTCATGTTTGACACTACAAATAAAGTTTGTGATTAGTTTTATTTTATCCATTTTTAGGGTGTTGAGTCTAAAAACAAAATTACACCAACACATTTTGAATATTATCTTTGTCATTTTCACTCCTAATTTAGCGAGCAAGTTTTGTATTACAATTTTTGAAAAATATTTGAAGGGAAGGACTGATAAAGCATATTTAACAAAGATGGGATAATAGAACAAAAATCATGCAAATAAGATTCTTTGTATTTTTATGGTATCAAGGCCTGTCTTTGAAAAAAAAATACAAGTTTTTGAAATATGGTAGCTTGAAGTGTACCACCAGACCATTGATGACAACCAAAATTTGTGAAATTTTCTCTCTGTGAATTTCATGCCAAAAAATGGCAAAACCTACCGATGTAATTTTGTAAATTTTTGAAAATCTATAATAACAAACCTACAAAAACTTCCAAATTAAAAGTTGTTTTATTTATTACCCATACTATTATTTTCTCCTAATTAAAGCATTTATTTGTTTTATTTCTCAAGGGCAAGTATGTCACTAAAAAAATAGTAATTTCAATAATCAATTCCCAAATAGCTTCTAATGTAAAATATATTTAGAATTTTTAGGGGCTCTTTCTATTAAAACTATAAAATAAATCCTTGAAATATAGAAAATGAGATAAAAAGGTGTGAAACTCCTTGCAAGAGGAAAAAAGTTGAAAAAGAAAAAAAAATAGCTTTAAAAACATAAAAATAGTTAACCATGGTAACCTGTGTGTAACCAGGGTCAACCCTTGCCCTTAACCAGAGCTAAATCATGGCCCCTCTTGTCCCTTTACCGACCGGGTTCTTCTTTTGGGGCCCACTTTTAAATTATCTTATTTAATTTTTTTTTATATTTTAAATTTAATTTATTTTTAATTAAAAAAATCATTCGAAAACGCTGCAATCATATCAAAATAAGTAAATCCTCACTTAATAATTCATCAATAATAGGAAGTTGAGGATTAACAAACCTTTACATCAAATAATCTGGACATGAGCATTATGGTTGTGAAAAAAAATTAAAATTTTAAAACAATCTAAATATAGTATATATTGAAACACATTATCAAAACAATCCATTTTACCTTTAGAATATAAGCGTTCACGTATCCTTCAAACTTTATTGTTGATGTTGGAAATTGATTTTAGAGTCGTAATAGATATTTCATCCCCTGAAATTCTTGTGGCCGAGGATTTGTAGGGACGCTTTATCTTGTTTTCATAGAGCCTAGGCCTTATAGAAACTTCTTCCTTTAGTTAATAGTTTAATTAACCGATACTAATAAAATAAATTAAAATAAACAAACAAATAAATAAATCCAAAACTCAAAACAAAGAGCACAAGTAAAACAAAAAGAATAAGGAAAAGGCGGCCTTTTTTTCTTCTGATCTTTCTCCGCTTTTGTCTTTCAGAGCCGAGTGTCATTTGATGGTCACTCTAGAGAGAGAGAGTGAGGGAGGGAGGGAGGAATTTAGGCAGAGGATTTAACTGCTGTCTGTTAAAGGATGTGTTGTGAAGTGAGAGAGGATTTGAGAGAGAGAGAGAGAGGATGTTAGAGAGAGATTCAGCTGTTCTCTGTTAAGTGTGGTGGAGGGAGGGAGGGAGAGAGAGAGAGAGAATATCAGGAAGAGGTAAATTCTAAGAGAGTATTTGTTGTTCTCTGCAACACAGGATTTGGGTATTAGTGAGAGAGAGAGAGAGAGAGAGAGCTTGAAAGTTCCAATTGATATGAGAGGGAGAGAAAGAGAGAGATTTTAAGTGTGTTTGGTGCTTTCCTTGCAACGCAGGTTTTCGCCGTGAGAGAGAGAGGGAGATTTTACAGAGTGAAGGAGAGAAATTTGAGAGAGAGATAGTACTGCTCTCTGTGACAACCAGAAATTGCCTCAGAGAGAGAGAGAGAGAGAGAGAGAGAGAGAGAGAGTGAGTGATTTCGCTGAAAGGTTTGACTGCCGTCAGTAACATTGGGAAATTCGGTGGAGGGAGATATTTGCTGCTATATTTAGCTCATTGCAGAGGAGTACACAGTCTCTGCTCTCCTTTCTTCGGAAGAGATAACTGCGTGTACACTTTTCGTATTTGGTGAAGGGAATATTCCATTATTGCAAATGATGTTTTATTCTATATTTAGCGGTAGGTCAGAGTTTTTGACTGATAAATTGTTCTAAATTTAGGTTGATTCTTCTTCAGAGGCTTTTTTATTTTACTGCACTAATCTGGACTTTTAGGGTTTTAGCTAATGTCCTCTCTGTAAAACCTCTTTGATTGCAGGAATGAAGGCAAAGACTTGATTTTTTTTTTTTTGAGAGTTTTCAGGTAGGATTTTTACTAGATTATATGAAGAGTGGCTGGAAATTTGTGCAATTGTAGAAGAACAGAATAGAGATTCTTGAAAATTAAGGTGTCTCTGCAATTTTTTACCCTGTTTCCTTGTTGTGTAAGAAACAGTTTTCTTCTTTGATGTTGAATGTGTGAGATCGAAGGATTCATGGAGAATCTTTGATGTTGAATGTGTGAGATTGAAGGATTCATGAAGAAGAAGATGGTTTCTTTTGAGCATTTTTGAGGCATGTATTGTGACTCTCTGAAACTACAGAGAGAAAAGGAACAGAGCATTTAAAACTTAGGGTTGCTGGGGGAGTATGCCATGGAAATTTGGTGTTTTTTACTGTGATTCTCTGTAATTGCCGAGAGAGGAGAAGAGGATTTTTGACAGGCCTGCAATTTTGGTGTATTCTTTTGTAATGTTAAGTTTCCTCTCTTTTATGTTGCTAGTGAGAAGAAAGGATAATGTTCATTTACACATGGAAGATTCCTGCTAATTTCAGGTTTTCCCCCCTCTCATATATGTTCAATAAATGCTTTGGAGACGCCATACCACTGCTAAATTTAGGGTTCTCTTTTTTCAAGCTTAATTGAGTTGCAGGGGCTTATATATTAAATGATACTCTTATTTGATGAGAAATTCAGGGTTCATTGAGATAGAGATCTCTTATTGTTTTAGGGCTTGTTTCCACAGAAGGAAAGTGGAAAGGAAAATCAGAAGTACATGCTATTTATAGGTACGTCTGCCCTGACTTTGTTTCATTTGGCATTTGGACATTTAAGTTGGAGTTATCTTTTGTTTAAGTGAGGTGTAATATTTCAGAAGCTTAAAGACAGGTGGGGTTTGAGGTTCTTAAAATGGAGGTGTCTTCTCTATATAAGAAGCTGCCATTTACAGTTTTCTCCATCCATTTGAGTGGTGTTCTGGAAAGAGGTTAGAAAGAAATCTCTGCTTTATAATCTTTTGTGACCATTCTGGCTGTGAAACCTTAAGATAGAGGGTTTCTCGATCTGAGGAATCTCGTGAAGAAAAAGAGGACTTGATTTTAGCTGGAGCAAAGGAGGTTAACTGAAGAATTGTTATCAAAGGTGTTTCCTTTCTGCTATTTACTGTGTCATATCTTCAGATATTGAACTTCAAGTGAAAATTTGTGAGTTAATTTTGCGATTTCAGCCTTCCTGTGTTTCTTACGAAAAAAATCGAATATCAAATGTGGAGCGGTGATACTTTGATATATCGATGTGCTTCATTTGGAAATTCGGGCCTCCAAATTTGATAGTTTGAGTAATTTCTTTTGCCAGTTAAGAAGAAGAATAGGGAGGATAAATTTTTGAGAGGTTCTTAGCTTGGATCCACTAAACTTATATTGGGAAATAGCTAGAAGACGAGCTTTTACATAAGATTTTCTCATAAGATTTTCTTTCCCGTTATAGTTCTCTTCTTCTTTTTAGGCGAAAATGATGGGCAGGGACTCTTTGAAAGATTTGAGCGCTCCTTTGAGGGAAGCTGAGAAATGCCTTGACTCTCAGTTATGGCATGCTTGTGCAGGTGGCATGGTCCAAATGCCCCCTGTTAACTCAAAGGTATTCTATTTCCCTCAGGGCCATGCAGAGCATGCTCAAGGGCCTGTAGACTTCTCGAAAACCGCTCTTAGGTTCCCACCCCTTATTCTGTGTCGAATAACCTCAATCAAATTCATGGCTGACCCTGAGACCGACGAGGTCTATGCAAAAATACATCTAGTGCCCCTAAGGTCCGATGATTTTGATGGCATGGATGAAAACAACAGTGGGGTTTTTAGTAATTGTAGTGGGTGTGAGGTCTCGGAGAAACCTTCCTCTTTTGCAAAGACACTGACCCAATCTGATGCTAACAATGGTGGGGGTTTCTCGGTTCCTCGCTATTGTGCGGAAACTATATTCCCACGCTTAGACTATTCTGCCCACCCCCCAATTCAGACTGTTCTTGCAAAGGATGTACATGGAAACACATGGAAGTTTAGACATATTTACCGAGGTACCCCTCGTCGCCACCTTCTCACAACAGGGTGGAGCACTTTTGTTAATGAAAAGAAGCTTGTAGCTGGGGATTCTATCGTCTTTTTGAGGACGGCGAATGGGGAGTTATGTATGGGTATAAGGAGGGCAACGAGAGGAATTAGTGGGGGAGAGTCTCAAGGTTGGAGCCCAATACCTGGAAGTTGCGTCTCCCATTATGGGTTGTCGAGATTGGAGGCTAAGATATTGGGGGTTGGTGGATCCGAGGGTTTTTCCATGTTCATGAGAGAGGAGGAAGGGAGGTTGATGAGGTCAAGTAGTGGGGGAATAAAGGGTGGGAATTCGAATTCAGATGGGTTTTTGAGGGGGAGGAATAAGGTTAGTGTGGAAGCAGTGGTGGAGGCAGCAGCTTTGGCGGCAAGTGGTCAGCCATTTGAGGTTGTGTATTATCCAAGGGCAGGTACACCAGAGTTTTGTGTAAAGGCAGGGGCGGTGAAGTCAGCACTGAGGATGCAATGGGTGCCTGGTATGAGGTTTAAGATGGCTTTTGAGACAGAGGACTCATCGAGGATAAGTTGGTTTATGGGGACGATTTCAATTGTTCAGGTGGCAGACCCAGTACATTGGCCTAATTCACCTTGGAGGCTTCTACAGGTATTCTCTAATTCTTTAATCTTCTTTGGTTAGCTGTTTCATAGTTTCTTCCCCTGGCCCCTGAAGCATCTAAATGTTTTTCAGTGTATTAGAAAATATAGTGAGTTTTTGTAGAATAATTTCTTAGTTATTGAAAAAAGATAGTTTACTTGGAATTTTAAGTCTTTGATATTATCTGTTTGATTATTTTGCAAGATAAATAATGTTCAACTTTTAATATATGGGATTAAAAAAAGTTGTAATATGCTAATTTATAGGAGAAAAATTTCAGAAAACATCAAAAAGATACAAGCCTGTAGAAATTTTTATTTAGAAAAGAAACATGTGTATTCTTTTTTTTCTGTTGATAATAGTTGATCTCTTTTTTTTGTGCAGCTTTGGGGTTTTCCCTTTTCTTGCAATTTTTTTATTTTATTCGTCCATGTGATTCCCAAGAAAAGAAAATTTCTGAATATTTCCTAAAAATGACATCGCGGGGAAATTTTTGAAAATGATTTTGTCAGGTTTTTGGCTTCTATTTAGTGAACTGGCATTTTACAGGACAAGCTATCTTCATAACTTGTTCCATGTTTTGCAGATTGCACCCCTTTTTCTAGCAGTTAACTTCTGTATTAATTAGTCAAACATGGGCCATGCATTTCTTCTCTTAGGAAACTTTTCATGCATGAAGGCCACTCTTTGTAACTTGAACATAAGAAAATACTGGAGTGTTTGTCTGTAAATGACACAGGGCCAAAATGCAACTGGCATTCTTATTTGGATTATTTGCTACTGTTTCTTGTTTACCTGATGACCTGATGATGGTGCTGTATGTAGTTCTTGTTTTCCGAGATCATAGTGGCAAATCACCAGTTGACTTCTATACATATCTGGCATCATATATTTGTGTTTTAGACTATTATCCTGAATTTTCTATACTGAAGATATCCAAACATGGCCATAATTTTGAGCTTAATCAGGGAAGGTTGCCATTTCATTTTCTTAATGCGTGTCAAGGATTTCGTTTCATTCAAGTGTTGGATGCCCAAATCCCATTTCATGGTTTCTCTTTCAGCTCAGCATGTTAGGCCTCCACATAGAAAGAGATGATTGTGCTTATTTTGGAGCTTCTGACCAGCTCAACTTTTCCAAAATTTTTAGTGCTTGGGCTTTTTGTCTTTGTCCCTTTCCACAGTCCATTATTGTCATGAAGTTGTCAATGGTCAAGTCCCTGCCCTATTATTTTCCCCTTTTTTGACCTTTGCAAGTACGAAAATGTGGGGTTTGCAGCTGATGCCAGGAGTTGAAGCAAAAGAACTCCATACACTAGGCTATGTTGATGCAACCCTATTCTCCTTGTGATAGTTACAAATATCACTTTTTTTAATTGTTGGCTAAGTGAACGTCTCTTGAGATATATTAATGTTATTAACAATTTTGCTCAGTCTTGGGGAAACATAGATGAAAATTGCAAATAAAAATAGAAAAGGCTCTTGCAAATTAGATTTCTATCGTTGTAATATATATATATATATATATATAGGAAAACACTACAAAACGCTTATAGGTGAAGTTCTACAGTACTTCACCTATGGCTTTATCACCGTTCAAAGTTTATTTTACGGTCACATATGTCTGATAGTATTTTAATTTTAAGATTTTTTTTACAAATCATAATAATCTGAAATTTTGTAATTGTGTGTGCCTTAGTGAGATGCATACGAATAAAATATAAAAAAAATAATTTGAATGAAAAAAATTAAGATGAAATGTTGGGTGTATATACCTAACACTATTGCGCACTATATAAAAATATAAAAAAATTATTTCCAATAATTTAAAATGATCAAATTACCCCCGTCATTTTTCAGGGGTATTTCGGTCATTTTATAGTTTGAGAAATATTTTTATAAATTTTTAATTGTGTGCCCTATTTTTTACTACACCATTCTAAAATTTTATTATGATCCGATTTCTAGAAAAAATATTAAAATTCATATAGTGATATGCATTCTGAACCACATCATGAAGATCTGATGGCTGTGATTTCACCTCTATTACTATTTATTATAGTTACCCAGCTCTTGTTAATTTTTTCCTTATATATATATATATATATATATATATAAAATAAGGAAAAAGTTTATATAGAGCTGAGGCTCTAAACAATCAAATTAGAGCCCACCTAAAAGATTTTACTAGAAGATGCTGTTTTGATGTCCAAATATCCTTAAATTGATCACCTCGACATTAAGATGCATGGACATGAGAAAAAAATGGATTTCAAGTTTTGGAAATAGTGCATATTGTAATACCTTTTTGGACCGTCAATTTTCAAGATTTTCAAATTTTCTTAGATCTGCTCAATCTACACTATTTTTGAAGCTTTAAATTTTATAATTGAAGACAAAAATATATTTTAAGGCTATCCCAAAGATTTCCAGTATTGAAACCACATTTCTCGATACTATTTGAAGGTGCGCTTTACTTTGATTGTTTAGAGCCTCGGCTCTATACAAACCGCTCCTTTATGTAATTTACTTTAATTCTAAGAATTTAAATTTTCATGTCTGTTAGTTATATAGCTTACGCCGCTCTGTGTTTTCCAGAGAAGCAGAAGTTCGCCTCATGTAAATCCCTTTCATACTTAGTCAACTAGACCCAGGCACTGATCTGAGTCGAGTCACATTCAATATTGATTTTTTCGTGTCTTTCTATGGTTTTACTAAGTGACTTGGGCGAATTCATGGACTTGTAGTATGCTGGTAGCTTGATAGTATGCACTTGTGAAATCTTTCAACCTTTAGCTGATCCTTTACTTTTTCTTTTTCTTTTTATATCTGTATTGTAAGATGGATCGGTGCTGAATCTGTTTTGGAAACTAATTTCCCTTTTTAAACATAATATAATCTTTTTCCATTGTCAATATGTACAATATAATCTATAGCTTTTTTGTTTTTTGGTATATCTATCATAATCTAAAGCATTTCATTGGGGCCATGATCATCTAATCAAAAGACGGAAATTGATGGAGGGAGAGTGGGTGTACAAACATGATACCCTGGTAAATCCGCCCTCGGCATCACCATCCATCATTTGCTCAGATGGTGATTACCGCAATGGATTATGGTTTTCCAAATTCCATTGGATTGTGGACTTTCCTTTGTGAACATGCATGTGTGATTTCACAGCTAAAGAAAAAATAATAATTAGAGTTTGATTTTTCCGATTATATCCTTTTTCAGAGCAACTCATGGTATTTTTCTTTGGAATCTAAAGTTCTTTTTGAATCCTTGCTGAAGTTGGATCCTTAAGTATTCATAATCAATTGGTTTTCAGTTGAACAGTTTACTTCCAATCCAACTTGGTGGTTGGAGAGAGAGCTGCAGTTTCTTTGATCAGACAAAAAGTGTAATGCAATGTGAACACAGTGCATGCATGTCCTCCTCTTTTACTCATTCTGTGGTGTGTAATGCAGGTAACTTGGGATGAGCAGGATCTGTTACAAAACGTGAAACGTGTCAACCCCTGGCTGGTTGAGGTGGTATCAACCATTCCAAGTGTTCAGCTAACTGCCTTCTCTCCTGCCAAGAAGAAACTGCGTCTCTCTCCTCACCTCGACTTCCCCATTGACTCCACATTCCATCCTCTCTCCTCAAACATTGACCCGACATTCGCTTCTCTCTCCTCAAATCTTAATCCCACTCCTCTCACCTCCTCCATGCCCAGGCCTACGAACCCATTTCAGGGCCTCCCGGACTACCATGTTCCTGCAGGCATACAGGGAGCCAGGCAAAGTCAGTTCGGTGTTGCTCTCTCTAACCTTCACTTGAACCGACCAAACTCCACTCTTTTCCTGGATGTTCTCAGGAGGCCTGAGCATGTCTCGACCGAGCTCATCATAGGGAGCTCAAGCACTCAAGATAATGTCTCTTGTTTGCTCACAGTTGGTAGTCCCTCACTGAACTACAAGAAATCAGAAAACCATAAACCAACACCATTTTTGCTTTTTGGAAAAACTATACACATGGAGCCTCAAGTATCAGCAGTGGAATCAACTGATGGGCATGAGGAAGTGGGTTCCCCTGCTCTTACTGTGAATAGCTCACCAGAACAGATTCGAGAAAGATCTGAGCTTTTTTTGGAGAAAAACGAGCTTAGTTTGGATAATAAGCGAGAAGGTGGAAAGTGGGTTGAAGAGGGGAATGGCCATTGTAAGGTATTCATGGAGTCTGAGGAGCTTGGAAGGTCTTTGGACCTCTCGGCTTTTGGGTCTTATGAAGAGCTTTATAGGAAGCTCGCAACATGGTTTGGGATTGAGAGGTCGGAGACTCTTAACCACATGCTGTACAGAGATGAGAGTGGCACTGTCAAGCAAACTGGAGATGAACCTTACAGGTACTCTACTCTACTCTCTCTCTCTCTCTCTCTATATATATATATATATATATATGTGTGTGTGTGTGTGTGTGTGTGTGTGTTTGGGTGTGAAATATATTTGTGAGCTCGTATCTGTGTGCGTGTGTGTGTGCATGTCTGTGTGTTGTGTGTGTGCGTGTGAAATATATATGTGAGCTCCTCAGCCTACAGAAAGTACAGGCGCGCCAGTCCTTATGCAATATGGTTATTTTTTGATAAATCCTTTGACTTGAAATTTTGTGGAGATGCGAGCTTGTGTCAGGTGCTTCAAAAAAATAATACTCTGAGAAAATATGCCAAAATACCCCGCCCGCTGGCCATCCAATGGTTTAGTTTGGGGCCCTCGGGTCAAAACTTTTCCATAGGCCCCCTGGCTCACAGAATCTAATTTCACCATTATAGTGGTGTAGTCTAGAATATATATATATATATATATATACATCACTCTCTCTCTCTCTCTGTGCTTACAGTATAAGCTGTGTGTGTATTTTTGTGCATGAGGGCTGGCCTATAACCTATACAGGGATGCCAGATCTGTACATACTCAGTTTATGAAACAAACGGGTATGTTTTTTTTCTATTGTTTTGCCTGGTAATCCATGCTTAACTAATAGGGAAAACCACTTGGGTGTGAGTTCCACTTCTTTGACGGCTCGCTTTAGTGGAAGGTTGAAATTTTATTTATTTCAAGAGGAAAACTCAGATAGATGGGAGTCGTATTTCCAAAGAAGATAGAAAAAAAAGAAGTAAAAACGGTTTTCTTTTCAAGCTTTAATTATTTTAAACCGTTCATTTGGGAGCTGGTGTTTTATTCTGGGTTCAAAATAGCTTTTTGTCCATCTGTTATTCATTGTTTCTTAACTTTTTGATTAAAATATTGGTTTTATTTATTTATTTATTTATTTTTATCATTTTGAGTTTATATATTTTTATCATTTTGGTGAATACTGTAATGGCAGAGAGGTGCAGTTCCTCTCTTTATACACTAAATTACAGAAAAATATGCTTTAACTTAATTTGTGATTCGGCCATGATTCCACATATTCTTTGCTTTTGTTGTACTTCATGCTTCAGCTTAGTGGTAGACATTTTTTGTGTGAGGGAGGTCAATGGTTCGAACCCTTGAAATTTGTCCCAAGAAAACCAAAGAAGCTAACCTCACCAATTTTTTTTTTTTTGGGAAAATATTTCTACAGCTATACTTATGGTATGTAAAAGATTTCTGGACTCAGTATATTTACTATAGCCAATGCAAGGGAAGAAGCATGGATATTTGAAAGCCCTCATCTTTTCTTTTTTGGTTCCCGCTTTTATCAATATATGCATATTTCTCAGCTTATAGGTAACATGTGAATCAACTGCTCTCACTCTCGCTATCTGCCTCTTAGAGGAAGTGCATCTCTCTCTGCGACCGATACCTGACATTTCTATGTCCTTATTGCAGTGAGTTCATGAGGACAGCGCGAAGGCTGACAATCTTGTCTGATTCCAGCAGCGACAACATGGGCAGATGAATTTTGCTGCATTCAAAGGTTAAATTTTGTGCGAGGGGTGACAATCTTGTCTGATTCCGGCGGTGACAACATGGGCAGATAAATATTGCTGCATTCAAAGGTTAAATTTTGTGCGCATCAGTCGCTTCAGTGAACGATCAGTTTCTCTCTCTATCCATGGTGGTCAATGAAAAACTTTGATCTCAGACTTGATGTTACGCTTCCTTTTGTTTAGGATATTTATTTTCTTCCTTCCAGATTTTCTTTCTTTGATGTAAGAATAGCACAATAGTTTGTTGCAGTTTGTCTTCATTCTGAAAGAAATGATGCATTTGTCTCAGCTCTCCTATGCTTGTTATTCAATTTGCACGAAATGAGAATGAGAGAGAGAGAGAGAGAGAGAGAGGGTCCTTATGCTGGTTGAGAGATGCATTTGCAAATATTCGACCTTAGAGAGAGAGAAGGGTTAGACACCAGCAGTGTCTTTGGTTGCGAGAATGAATTCGGTTGCCTATTTTAGAGAGGGAGAATTTGGCTGCGTATTTTAGAGAGAATTGGGCTGTCTATTTGAGAGAGAGAAGTCGGTTGCCTAGTCTATTATTCGTAACCTATTGAGGGAAAAATGATACCTCCATTCTAGAGAGACAGAATTCCTTTGCCTAGTCTATTCATGCAAATTCAACATCTCGACATCAAGATCTATGGACATAATAAAAAAATGGATTTCGAAGTTTTTGAATCTTGTAACGTATTTTTGGATTGTCAACTTTTAAGATTTTTAAATTTTTATAGATATGTTGGATCTACACTTTTGTAGCTTAAGATTTTATAATCAAAGATGAAAATATATTTTAAAAATATCATAAAGATTTTCAATATTGAAACTACATATATCTCGATACTATTTGAAGGTGCACATTACTTTGATTGTTTAGAGTCATGGAACTATACAAACTACACTGCACCCATTATATATATCATGACATTTATGTAGATCGACATGAATCTGTGTGCCGGACCTTGTACATTTGTGCTGGTGTGTGCTACAAAGTGAGTGTACAAACCATCATTCTCAAACTTGACTTTTTAGATGATATGAGTTTGCATACCACTTACAGACAAGATACTGAGTATTTAACGTATTAAGATTTCATGGAGAAAACTTAAGAAGTGGTTTTTGGTTTTAACTTTTAAAAGGGTCAAATGCTATTATTGTATTTTTAATGTGTCGACACGTTAAAAGTGGTGAGCGATGTTGTTCAATCAAAACTGATTCGTATTTTTATATTTTGAGTATTTCTTTAAAGTACTCAATATTTTTTAGACACTCATTATCTTTACTTCGTAATATAGTTTTTTTTCAAGCAAGGACATTTTTTGTAATAAAAAAAGGTAGAATAGATATTTAAGTAGCGGAATTCTATTTGTAAGTAAAAAATAATTAATACATTGTGTGGGTGATATCACACTATATATACATATATCATTTTCTATCATAGTTAATAAATAATTTTTTTTCTATTAAGAATTTCTACTTTACTTTTGATCAATTATCTAAAATATTCTTAAACCAAAAATTTAGCATATTGTAGGGTAAGGGTAATGAGTGTCTCAAAAGATTGAGTGAATTAAAGAAATACTCCGTATAAGAGTACCCTAATAAAACCCTTACTAGGTTTTCACAAATATATTACAAAAATGTGCAAGCTTGTTTAACTAGTTCGACTATTCAAAATTGGATGATATGAACGTCCAAATCAAGTCGAGCATTGATTTTCACTAATTTTTAATTAAATCTAATTTTTACTTTAGACCAACCTGATCAAAGCATAATTAGTGGTCCAAATTTTGGCGCCCCATTTGATAACTATGCAAAAAAAAAACTTATGACACAAATGTGTCTTATGTAACTCATGGAGTTTAAAGGACAAGACTACCTCGTGGAACTGGTGGCTAGAAACCATGAAACAAAATTTAAAGAAAAAAAAATTCCACATACTTTTTTCTAGAACATAGTTTTCTTTTTTAAAAAACAGAATATTTTGAAAAAAAAAAATGCCAATACAAAAAAAAAAAACAAAAAGAAAACACATAATCAAGTTGACTAATCACATGGGCTGCTGGTACTCTACCAGACCTAAAACCCCCACTCCTTATAAATATGCTCAATTTTGGTGACACTGAGGAAATAGGGCCCCATAAGCCATTCTGACCATGAAAATAAATATCATGGTCCTGTAGGAGTAAGATATATATTTATTCCCTAGGACAGACGGCCCAAGGACTTTTTCCGAACTGAATCTTTGATGCACTTTAGAACCAACGTATGAGTAATTGAAAAATGTGAATGTTATGTTGCTAAACATTATAAAATTAAAAAATTAGAGTTCTTTTTCAATTACGAGGCATTATTTTTCTATGCTCCATGTAAAGCTGTTTTTTTATGTTCTCTTATTTTTCATTGAGGTTGGTCCGGTGACAAGGGTCGGCGTTCGTGCTAGCCGTTGCTTGTCATAAAAAAACGGATACACGTTAACACAACGCTTTTGTGTTGGTTATTATTTGTTGGCTTTTGTACCTAAGACAAATAAAAAATGGATTCGCATTTACGCAACGGCTTTCGCGCTAGCCGTTGTTTGTTGGCTTTCGAGCCTGTTCTTGGTGGCTTTGACAAGAGTTAACTTAGCTAACAACAAAAGGCTCCACAAATGCTCCAAAATAGGTCTATTGAGTTAATGAACAGTATGATCCTGCTGGAGCATATAGTTTTTGGCAAAAATGAGAGCAACTTGAGGCGGGTGGGACATGTTTATGGCATGTCTCTCAAATTCGATCACAAAGGAGTGAGATAAATTCTTATTGTCCACCAAATCAAAATGCTTCAAGATTCCCTCTCACTTATTTTTCAGCTTTCATTTCCTCACTCTAGAAAATGAGCATTGTTCTTTTCTCACTTGACTATGATGCCCTCAATTTTCAAATCTCCTTTGTCTCCATGCAGGTGCTTTGCACTGGTTAAGTAGTCAATCTCGTAATGATATCTAAGAGGCAAAGGGTATCTTGGTATCTCTATAGATTTGGTGCTCATATTTAAATGCTGAGAAGTTCATTAAAATATTAATTTTCATCATCTTTATTCTAGTCTTATCTTAACTATTTGACATCGGCCATATGAATCATGTTTCGTCATTTCGCTTTATCAAAGGCCATGTCCTCAGTCAACTCATAAGCCACCATATCTCTTCTTGCTATTTCCATCTATATCATTTTGGGCTCCTTATTGCTTTTTTAAAACTTTTGACTTGAACCAAATCACTCATCCTAATCACTGTTGTTCTAGGTCAACATTACACATGGCAAACCACCAAAGTTTTATTTCCCTCTTCTTATCGCTTATTGGAGCTAGTCTTAAGCTCATTCAGATGTATAAAAAAAGTATGAAAAATTATGCTTTTGTAAAATGAAAAATGTATTTTGATTCATCAAATATTAAGTCGGATATATAAAAAATATATGAAAAACTATACTTTTGTAAAATGAAAAATGCATTTTGATGCATCAAATATACTTATCAATTATTTAACACTTTAAATGTTTTCAAATATTTCATCTCATGATCATGTGTATTTTGATGGGTTTTTGGAAATCGAGTCAAAAGATATAGGTAAAATGCTTACTAGTTCATCTACTTAGTGCATTTTGATAAACTTATTTAATTGTTTTTACCTCCTTGAATAAAATTTCCCAAAGCCTTCCCCTTAAGGCTCTTTGAGAAGAAAAATAAAGTAAATCATCATAAAAAGAAGTGGTTTTTGTTGGCTGGGGCTTTATCAAATTCGGTAAAATTGTAACCCCAAGATCGCATTAGAAAAACAGTTTTGGAGAATCATGGTTGACACAATTTATTGTAACTCTTATTGTCAAATTTGAAGCTCTAAAAATAATGTAGATTTGACTTGAATTATGAAGACTTGAAATTGACTATATAAAAATAAGTTGCAAAATAAACTAATTTTAGGTTTTGAATCTATCTTTTTCTCAAATCTCAAATCCATTATCATCGAGGTGGAGATATCGATTTGCAAATTTTTTCACACCAAATTTGCATTTTCTAACCAAATTTGCATTTTCTAACCGTATTCAAGGTGTAAAGCTCAATCCTACTTAATACTTTCCTTAAAAAAAGGTCATTAACCATAGTTGTTTCTATTATATTTTTCCCTGTTCTTTTGGAGGGAAATTTGCCAAAATAATAGTTGAAGAGTGATGTGTACTTTAATAAAGAAAAGGGGTTTGATGGGGCTGTGGCTCTATTAAAATAAATAAAGCTCGCCTCATAACTCATCAAAAATTGTAATTCAAGCATTAGAAAACCTTTACATCGATCACCTTGGTTTGAAATTATGGTTGTGAAAAAAAATAGGATTTTAAGATCTAAATATAATATATATTGTAGCAAATTATCTAGACCGTCCATTTCGCCCTAAAAACAAGTGTTCATAGATCCGCAAGATCTGTACCATTTTTTTAGTTTTTAATTTTATTATTGGTGTTGAAAAGTGATTTTAGAGCCGCATTGAGATTTTTGTTGCCGAAAGTGCTTTCAGGATGAGGATTTAAGGTGAGGCTTTATTTTGTTTTCATAAAGCCTAAGCTTTATAGAAACTTCATCCTTTAATAAATTCTCATATAAATGTATCATCATCATCATCATTATCACTATCATTATAGCTTTTTTCCAATTAATTGGGGTTGGCTACATGAATTCTGGTCCGCCATTTTGCTCTATTAAAGACCATATCCTTAGTGATGTCATAAGTCCCCATATCTTTCTAAATTACTTCCAACCAGTCTTTTTGAGCCTACCTCAAAACTCACTCATATAAATGTATACGAGTGAGTTTTTTAATCGTCATTATATATAGTCATGTGCTACCACATAATATGATCCATAAAGGCATAATATTATACTCCATTTACTCCCTTGGGGAAAGCCCCACTTAGGATTAATTTTAGAACCCCAAATTTTGTGGATAACCTCTTCAATATATAGATTAACCTTAATATATATATATATATATATATATATATATATATATAAACTAATTGCACCCTCTGCGCACTTGAAAAAATAATATCTCAATATCAAATGTTTAGAGGGTGAGATTTAAGTGTTAGAATACTCAAAATTCAAATTTTGTCCTTTCAAAATAATCATCTAATGATTCTCAGGTCGTAAGGATCAAGGTTTTCAGGCCATAAGAGAGAGTGCCACCGTGCGCGTAAGGCACTGCTGTGCGCGCCAGAAGAGAGAGAGTGACATCGCGTATGTTAGAAGAGAGTACCG